GGCGTCTGCCAGTGCCGAAGTTTGTTTTAATTAGTAAAATCCAAATTAGGCAGAGAGAAAATTATCTCCCAGCAAAACTTCTCACACTCAAATTAACCAGGGCCTCGTTAGAAAGCATCTTATGACTGAGACGAATTTACAAACCTGCTGAAATGAATCCGGAGCATCTTAAAGTAACACTTTTAAAAAACAATCCAACATCCGTTTAAATGTACGTTTCACGTAGAATATCGTTCAGCGCTTCGTCTTCCCGTCAAAAACAACGTGAAGTTCGCCTTCTTTCTGATTGGCTCAGCCGACCTGCGCTTGTGCGTAGGATACAATGGTTCAGCGGTTGAGAAAAAAGTAGTGCCGAAGGAAAGTGATGTTTTGACGGAAATGAAGCGCACATTAAAACAGATATTAGATTGTTTTTAAAAGTGTTTAAATAATGTTCTTCCTTCTGGCCCCGCCCACAGCAGCGCAGCCCTCTGCTAAAGCTGATTCTGGTGATCCACGTCCTCGTCTCAGTCTTCTCAGCCTCTCAGTGTTTCTCTGGAGAAATGCGACCTCCGTCATTTTCTGATGATGTGAAACCTGATTTAAACTGTGTGTGTGTCTGTGAGTAAATGAACCAGGTGTACGTGTCGTCTGATCGGTGTGTTTGTGTGTGAGAAACAGGAAGAAGCTGCAGGACGAGGAAGAACCAGAGAGAGGTTGCGGAACCAGACCGCCATAGTAAGTCTCCGCGATTTCTAATTGGGGTTTTTCATGTTTTTTTTTTGATGATGGAAATTGTTTCTGCTTCTCCTCCCTCTGCCATCCCCCCTCCCACCTCCCCCAAAACGAGTGTGAAGACGTCGTTGACCTCACGCTGCGACACGAAAATGAAACCAATTTGTCTGTCAGTGGGGTTTGTTTTTGAAGAGAGTGATTATAAACCGTGTGTGATTTATAGAAACGTAGAGTCCATGAATATGTGTGTGTGTGTGTGTGTGTGTGTGTGTGTGGGTGTGTGTGGGGGTGGGGTTTATTTTCACTAGCAGACATAAAACCATTAGGACGTCTTGTAATCAGCTTCCCGCTGAGTCGAGTCACAGCTGTGATAATTCAACTAATTTTCTGAGCGTCTTAAAGTCGCTCTCGCTCGTTGGCTTTGCTCGAGGAACCGTGGGTAGCTCCTCTCACTGAGCAACGAAGAGTGGTGGGACCGAAACCAGCAGGTCGCCAACAACTTGGCTGCGTGTGAGGATGAAATCACAACATCACAAGACCCCGAGGAACCGTAATCGTTCACCAGGGGCACTAAGAAGAGAGCAGGCGAATTAAAACAAAACAAAAAAGAAAGATGGTGAAGAAAACACAGAAATGATTAAATGGCAGAGACATAAAGGAGAATAAATGTTTCACGGCTTCTTTAAAAACTACAGACTCGAGCACAAAGACACAGCAAAGAGACCAGGACTGGATGAACCTCCAATAAAGACATCTGTCAGATCATTTTTTCAACTTCAGTTTCCCGCCGGTCTGTGTGAATGAAGCTGGAGCAAACACAGTCTCTGTCGCCCCTCGCTGGCGGGGATGTGTAATCGTCCCTGATCTGTGTTGGGTCGAGAGTCTGGACCTCCCCTCCTGGTTCAGGTTTGTTCACCTGTGCCGTTGTTGTTGTTGTTGTTGTTTATTGTGTGCAGGCGGCGGAGCCGAGCCTCGAAGACCTGAACCTGGACAAGAAGGAGTCTGAGGTGGAGGTGAGTCTGCAGCTGTAGATACTGAATATCAAGGAAACAGTGTCGTTAGTTTGACAGAACCTCACCGTCATCTGTGTGTTGGTGTTTCTCAGGAGGCGAAGGCCATCATCGCTCAGCGGTCAGGAAACCCCCGAGAGTTCTTCAAGCAGAAGGAGAGAGCCATGACCATCAGTGTGGACACCTCGCCCGTCTCCATCCACAGGACCGGTAAACACCTTCACTCTCTCTCTCTCTCTGGGATCAGTTCGTTTTTAATGGTAGAGCGGGAAAATGAAGGGTTTTTATACTAATGTATTATACATCACTGTGAAACCTCAAGTAGACACAGATCAGCAACTGAGGAGAAGTCTTCCCTCAGACGGAGGACAGCTGCGTTCACCTTTAGGTTTTTAAAACGGGACAGGAAACGTTTTTCTGCTCCACAGACCGAGTCCCATCTTATTCTGTTCTGAAAACCCAAAAGAAAAACAAAACAAAACGACATTTCCTGGTTCACCCATTGATAAAGCTGTGACACAAACGTCTCACTGACCTCATCACATTCGACACGAGATGCTCATTTATCACGAAGGAAAAACATTCACGTCTTTCCCTCTGGACTGGACCGTCAGTCTCTGTTCTCAGCGTTCAGGCTCATGCGACAAATTTAGACAGTTTGAGCTTCTTCTTCTTCTTTCTTTTTTTTTTTTTTTGTTAATGTGCTTGTGATTTTGCTTATTTACACTGTTGCTCGTTGTGTGTCTGGCAGCGTTTTCGGTGTTTTGTCGTGACCCTGTTTCGAAACACAGACGCAGAATCTCTCTGAGGGCGTGGAGAACGAGTGTTTGACTGTCGACAGGTTTCAGGTTGAGAGGAGACTGCGGTCACTCAGTCCTGACACACAGTTAATTAAACTGTTTAGGATTTGAAAAACAACATGGCGAACAACAAAGAAACACACAACCAGTGCAAGACTGTACACATGAAGAAAAAACAATGACAATGGTGCAAAACAAAACCTGTGATATTATAATGAGAACGACAGTAACAATAACGACATGGGAGAATTAGTTTAGTGCAAGTAAATAACTAATATATATATATATATATATTTAGAGTTGTAAAATCCTCTCTCACATCAGGGATCTGATAAACCTTTAAACTCATGGATCTGTCTCCTGCGGTGTTTAACACGGGCTGTTTGGTCTGAGAGGAAGGTTTTCAGACGCTGCTATATAAGACAGTAAAAGCCCAGAGCTCTTTGAACTAGAGGTGCAATTTATCTGTTGTCTCTCATCAGCAGGTCTCTGTCAAAGGAGCTAAATGAGACTTTTAAACAAAACAAAGAAATGTACATTATGTTTCTACATATTTTAACAGGATAACAGATTCCAGATCAGACCCTGTGATTTACCAACGAGCAGAGGAACAGCTGATTCGTCAGAGTTTTTCTGTTGTGGGGTTTAAGATCCCGACGTCAGACAGCTGAGGATAAAAGAGTCCATCAGCGGTTCCTCTCTGCGAACAGCATGCTGCTGCAGTCAGACTGTTTACAGACACACTAACACTTCTCTTCCTTTTTTTTTTTTTTTTCTTTCTGTCTCTCTTTCCTCGGGGATTTTCTTCTTTCACATTTGTGTTCATCATCCTCATTCCTTCTCTCTCTCTCTCTCTTGTTTCGTTCACTTCTTCACTCATTGTCTTCTTCGACTTCTCCATTTTGTCCCACAATCCTCCTCTGCTCCTCGCCGTTTCCTCTGGGGCTGAACTTCTCGACTCTGACCTTTCCTGTCTTCCCTCTGCCTCCCTCCCTCTCTTGTTTTCCGTCTGTCTTGTCTTCCCGTCTCGTCCATCTTCCTCACATCTCTCTGTCCTGGTGCGTCGCTTCGTGTCCTTGTCATACGTGTGTGTGTGTGTGTGTGTGTGTGTGTGTATCTTCGTCTTCGGGTGTGTGTGTGGCGTCTTTGTCGTCCTGACCGCCAGGCCGTTTGGACAGCCCGTTCTTGAGGCAGCAGCACAGTCCCAGCAGCCCCAGTCCACCTCCCCTGCCCCGGGGCGTGTCGCCCCTCCGCACCCCGCCACACGCACGGACGCAGCCCGCCGCTGCAGCCGGTAGGTACAGCACATAACCGATAAACAGCAGAAGAAGAAGAAACAAAGAGGAGAGACAGACGGACATCCGAACCCCCCCCCCCCAATCCCCCAACCCCAACCCAAACCCCTCAGTCATCAACCCCCTCCTCCTCAGATGTGGATGCTGGAAATAATGATAGAGGATGAAAGTGCATGTCATTTCAAAATAAGAGCATTAACTAGTCTCTCAAGACACTGAGCATGTTTACGTGCGCACCGGAGTCCCTGTGATCACGTTTAATATAATTATAATTATTATAATTCATCTTCCTGTCGACGTGATTCCAACATGATCTCAGATTCTGATCATGTGTCTTTGCTCCAGATCCAGGTTTTGTCCAGTGATCAGAAACCTGGATACGGGGCTGATTAAACCGGCTCCCTGGTCATACTGGGACACTGGTGCACACACAAACACTCTGTGATTTTTACAATTTCATTTCAAACATCAAAAATAAAAGAAAACAACACTTATTAAAGGAGGAACACGTGAAAATCTGCTGTTCCGTCTTTCTTGAGAGACTTCAGCGAAAGGACAGTTGGTCAGTTTGACTCGTATTAAAGATGAAACCTCTGTTTTCTTCGGCATTTTTTCTCTCCACATGCGTTTTCATCGTCTCACTTTCTATCGGTTCATTTTCATCATCCAGTCCACGTCGCTCACACACACTCTCACACAACCCCCTCACACCCCCTCACATCTACGTACCCGCCCCTGAAAGACACCGCACCAACCCCTGCCGATCTCACCCCTCAGCAACAAGAAAAAAGTAGAATAACACCCTTTAAGTGCAGATATTTCAGCATCAGTAAATTTCAGTTTTGTAAGAACAGCAACAGGCACGAAAAAGCTGCAAAAAATTTTGGTAACAAAAGAGCAAAACTCAAAGTCCAAAGTCCAACTCAAAGTTGGACTTTGCATGTTTTTGTAGCATGGATGCTAGCAGTGTCAATATATTATAAACATTAAAGGTCCCATCCAGTGTAAAGGTCTGTGTCCATGTGTAGTGTGATTATAGATCAGCTCTAGCTTCTATATTAATACTGTGAAAGTATCAAAGCCTCAGTCCACAGAGAAATGCACACAGCCTGTATTCAGAAACTGAGCCTTAAAACCAGCCGTCAGGACTTCTGGAACTTTGTGATGTCACAACAAAGAAGTCACCAAGCCCCGCCCACCTGGACGGTTCTTAAAACCACAAATATATCCTCTTATGGATCAACCCTTCAAAATAAAACACAGGAAGTGTAAAATATGGGACCTTTAAAATATCTTTCACCTATTTTCAGCATTAAATTAGCAAATGTTTGTTGTTGTTAAAAGGTCACTATACTATCACTATCAATCACCTTCCTTTTAGCTTGTGCACTCACAACCTTCCTCGCTAACAAGCTAACAAGCTAACACTTGCATTAGCATCTCTCAAACTGAAGTAAACAATAAAACATCCTTTATGGCTGTGAACCATAAAGCTGTTTGTCGGTTTGTGTGATAGATGTCGAGTCTGTCGTCCCCTCAATCCTCATCCTTTAGATGTCGTCCAGTCGGCTGCTGATGTCAAATTATTTTTCTGAATGTCTGCTGTTTTAGTTTTTTTTTTTGTTTTGTTTTTTTCTGATTTGTGTGTTTTTCTTATGGTTTAAATTTGCAGTAAAGAATAATAATAACTGTAATTCTCTCAGGGATGAAGAGATGAAACTTTATCTAGAATCTGACTGGTTTTCTTTCACTTTCTGATCCTCCATCTCATGCTTCTGATCCTGGACTACACACACACACACACACTCACACACACACACACACACACACACACACACTTCTGCTGCTGTAAACCCCCCCCTCCCCCCGACCTGCTGACCAACCCGTGAGTGTCTGTGTATGAACGAGTGTGTGTGACGTCGCCGAGCCGCCCGTCGGTCGTCACCGCTGTTTGTCGGCCTGTATTTGACTGAATATGGACGTTTGCTGTTTGGACGTCTGTGGAGCTGATGTCTAGCTGTCATTCAGATTTAAAAACCATAAATGGTGATTTTGTACGTTTTCGGCTCATAAACTACATCAGACACGTGACGTCAGTGCTGACCAGTTTCCACAGATCCACGCTACAACTGTTAGATTGACCAACCTTCCTTTACTTTTCCATTACTCGCTTTTAAATTCAATATTTCAAATTACGCATTAAGCAGGTTAATTGAAACGCACCTCTAGTCTCCCTGGTCGATCCACCGAAGCACAACTACACCATCTACTGAATTATTAGAATACAAATATGTCGACTGTTTGAAAAGTTCAAAATAAGTATGTAAGAATAAACGAGGATGTAGCTTCTCGAAACCACAAATAAAACTTCACTCACCTGCACTGCGTCAGAGGTAGACGCAGAAATCTTAAGACATCTGAAAACCTGGACAAAAACTCAGACTCTCTGCGTGGATTTATAGCTCTAAAGCTTCAGTGAAAACGAGTCAACTCTTTTGAAAATGTATGGAAAATGGTCGGCAGCGATGTAGTTAAATGGGCAGAAGCGTGCACACACCTTTATGGCCTGCACTGTGTCCTCCTGCATGTCTGTAGGTGCTCTGGCAGACATTATGCTGGGTGGAGAAAGAGCCAGTTCATCCCTGTCTCTAGTGACGGTCGACACAAAGTCACTTCTCTCTAAATCCTTCTTTTAATGTGGAAAATTCCAGTTTAAAAAAAAAACAGTTTTATTAAACACTACTTACATAGATTAACCTGGAGTCACTGTCCTTATTCACGTCTCAGCTCAGACGTCCGTCTCCTTCTAAATGAGGTCCTTTGACCCTCTGAGGTTTTCGTTCCAGCCAGGTGAATTGGAGAAACCCACCCATGCAAGACGCTGCTGTGCCGGATGTCACTGAGCCGTTTGTCTCCATTTAGAGCGACGCTGTTGTTCTTCATCTGTGGTGCTTTGTGTTCACGTCCTCCTTGGGAAAAATCGTCTCTGAACGGGACGTCTGACTCCGACGAGCATGAAATCACCCAGCATCTGCAAAGAAGCGGCGTGTTCTTTGACCAGAGTTGTGTCTGCTGTGATGGATTGTGATGATGATGATGATGATGATGATGATGATGTTGATGTTGTGGTGTACTCGCTCTGTGGCTGTGACCCGTCCATAATGTGTCGTCATACACTGATGGTGTAGTAATGAGTTGTCAGTGGTCGTGTAGTGATTATGTCTTGGGCTTGATGTCGACGTCAGTTTTCTTCAACTCTCTAGAAACAACAATTTTATCACTTTTTCCCAAAATGCACTGCAATTAGTTTTACGTTAGACAGCTGCTGTGTCTCAGTTCGCAGACTTTCATCACTGCACCGACACGTAGTACACTGCGTACACTATATACTCACTGGTGTAGTCGTTCTGCACTCAGTACAAAATTTCTGCTTCTTTGCGCATCCGACGTAAAAAAAACAAACACGTTACTTCCTTCGTCCTCAGCTGCCGTTTTCATGAGTTCGTAAAAACCGTTGGTGGTCCCTCCTCCTCCGCTACGTAGCCAAGATGGCGACCGTTGAGAATGAGAAGTGCCGACCGTTTCACACATAAAACATTCGACATGATCATGGTAATAAATTTAAAAGTCAGAGCATTAACAAAGTCGTGTGGATTCATCATCTGGGAACCATGAATGTCTGAACCAGATTTCATGGTTGTTTTGCGAACCACTTACCGAAATCTGTGTTGTAGATATTTAACTGAATATATGAAAAATAAAAAGACCCGCTGGTGGTAAATGACAAGTGAGGGGATGATAAAAGTTATTAGGATTAATCCTCTGAGGATCGTAGTTGAGATATTTCAGTCTGGACCAAGATGGCGGACCGACCAACCACATCCCTAGAACCATGCTGCTAGCGTAGCTGAAAATAAAGCTGATTGCACTATCAATAAAATACAAACTTTCAGCTTTAGTCCCACCCACATGGCGTCTGATTGGCCGAGGTAACGTTCATTGATGGCGACATCACCAGACCTCTGAATTGCTGATGTGGGCGGTGGTTCAGGGGTCTGGATTGGTCTGTTTGTTGGTCATGTGACAGCATGTTAATGTGTTGAAGTAACACAGGATGTGACTGTTCGACCAATCACACAGCTTCACAGTGCAGAAACGTCCAATCAGCATCAGCCAATGTAACGGTTCATAGTTCCTGATATTCTGACACATTAGGACACAAACCTTTCAGTTTCATCACATCCTGTTTTAGTCCAACACGTCGGCGTCATGAGTTTGAATCTGTTTTTCTGAAGAGAGATCTCGTACCTTTTCGATATCTTGTTGTTGTGCCGTTCTGTCCGACCAGGGGACGATGACGATGACGACGAAGCGAGCACAGAGCGCAACATGGCCGCTGTGTCACCCATCCCTAAAATAGTCACCACGCCCATCAAAGAGGACCTCAGCCGGGAGGAGGACGACGTCAGAGACGAGTGGGGTAAGAGGGAAACGTAACATTAGTCACGTGTCCATGATGTGTCCATGTCATATTGTTGATAGTAACTTGTTGTTGTGGTTGTTTTCTAATGCAGATTCGGTGCCAAAGCAGGAGCAGAAACCTCCGGTCCAGGAGTCGACATCCGCCAAGCCCGTGCAGAGCGTCGCCCCGCAGGCCCGCGACTCCTCCGGCTTCTCGGCGTGGGATTCTGGGACAGACAATCTGGTCAACCTGTGGGACAGCAGTTCCGCTCCTCCCGCAGACCCTTCCCAGTCCTCCCAGTCCTCCAATCTGGTGGATCTGATGGGCGACGCTGATGTCGTTCGCGATGACGTCCTGCCCAGTGCCGCCGCTGCCACCGCCACCGGCGGCAGCCGGCCTCAGCCCCTCCTCAGCTTCGATGAGATGATGGACGGGACTCTCTGCTCGGCCACCAGCGCCGAGGACGACCCGTCCAGCTTGGTGGATGTGACGGGCTCCGACCAGATGACCCTCAGCTACCAGCATGCACTGCAGCACGCGGCCGGGGAGGGACAGGAGCTGGAGGATGGACAGCTGCTGATGACCAATGGGGAGACGCTGCTGAAAGAAGGGACACAGGTGAGACAGGTTAACGTTGTTGCTGCTGCGCGTTCACAAACACGTTTCCTGTCTTTCCGTTTGTTGACGGTTGTTTTCCCTCCTTCTTCTTCCTGTATGTCGGCTCTTACAGGCGAGCGAGGGCTACTTCAGCCAATCACAGGAGGAAGAATTCGGCCAATCAGAGGAGTCCTCAGCCAAACCAGCGCCGGTCTTTTATAACAAGCCACCAGGTGAGATCCTATAGTGAACACTTCCTGCACAAATCTTTCAAATTAAAATTCTTCCAGCCACACAGCATCTTTCACAGTCTCTTGTATGAAAAGAGCTTTATAAATAAAGTTTATTATTATTATTTTTATTATTATAAATTTACAAAAGACTAAAACTGAGTGTTTTAAAATGCTGGTTTCCAACCTGTGGGCGGGGAATGTTTTGCAAGTGCAAGAAAATGTAACTATAAAAAAAATGTGTACATAATTTTTTTAAATATTCTAAAATGAAATGATCTTCAAATACTATAAATATTTAAAAAAAAAACTCCTTTAATTGTTATTTTTCTTTCTTGTATTATGTGTGTGTGTGTGTGTGTGTGTGTGTGTGTGTGTGTGTGTGTGTGTTTGTGTGTCCTCAGAGATTGACATTACGTGCTGGGACACGGATCCCGTGGTCGACGATGACGACGACTAACCGGCCAATCAGACACCACCACCACCACCGGACCAAGAGGAAGTAGGAAGTGCGCTTCATGAAGAAACAGATTTTTTTCTAAAAAACAAAACACAAACAAACAAACAAACAAACAAACAAACAAAAAAAAAGTAATAATAATAACAACAAGTCTTGCATCAAAACTACTTCTGTATAATCTTTTAGAGGAGAAGAACAGTAGCCACAGAAAAAGACAGGGTTGGAGTTGTTGTTGACGACGGTTTGGAGGCTCAGTTATGGGGGTTTTTTTCTGTGTGTTTGTTATTTTATTTATTTGTTTTTTTTTTTTCTTCTTCTTCTTGTTTTTGCTATGCAGATGTAATAGCTGGGAGCTGGGGGGGGAACTTCTGTTTGTGTACAAGGTTTATTACACGTTAACGTAGCGCACCGCTGCATATTAGAGACAATGAAGCCCAGTGTGCGGCGGGCAGCCCACACACCTAGTCTGTAGTGCTTTAATAACACCCTATAAAACTAATACCGTGGATCATTACAGCTCATGTATGTCTTCACTCTCTGTTTCTTTTCTTACCTCTTTTTTCACATCCCTCCCTTCTTCTGCCTTCCTCCCAGAAACACTCACCTCTGCAAGTCAGTTAATCTTGTATTTAGTGGAGAAAAGGTGAAATATTTTATTTATTCCGGTGTATCTGAACTTCTTTTACGAACAGAAGAAGAAGAAGAAGAAGAAGAAGAAGATGTGTTTCTCATGATGAAATTCCTGAAACAAGTCAAACTGTGGCTCCTTCTGACCTTTTTCACTCCTTTTGTATGATTTTAAGACTGAATTCAAGATTAAATGGCTTGTAAATCTGGTTGGTTTTTTTTTGTTTTTGTTTTTTGGTTTTTGTTTTTTGGTTTTTTGGTTTTGTTTTGTTTTTTTCGCCTCTTTGTGGATGAACCGCAGCTCCTCCATCAGCAGTTCATCGTTTTTACCCCACATCTGTATTTACTCAAGCAATAAAGAACCATCCAGTCCAGTTGAATATAGTGTAGATATTTTTCCAAATATAAACTTTTTTTTTTTTTTAGCAGAGTAGAAGAAGAGAGAAGAAACACGGCGACAAAAGGCTAAAACTAACAAGTATTCACCAGGCAGGAGGAGGAGGAGGAGGAGGAGGATGCCTTACCTTTTCTAATTAAAAAAAAATAATTCATTCATTTTATAATAATGTTAATTTCTCCCATTGAGGTAGATCCTGGATGACAGAGGGAGGGTGGGATGAAACAGCTGGAAGCAAACCTGATTCCTGTCTTTGTTTTCATCTGCATGGAGAACCAGATGTTCAGGACAAGATTTAAAAAGGTCCAAAGTCTGTCTAAGAGGATTTTTCAAACTCTCGGAAAGCAACGTAACATTAACCCCCGTTACCTGTGAAGGAACTAGAAGCAGCAATGAACTAAATAACTATAAATTCACTGTTCGAAATGCACAAAAACAAACCGAGGTTCTACTCAGGCCGCGAAAACTGACGTGTAAAGAAATAAAAGTGATGATGAGGACGAGGCACTTTCATGCAGCGCTGCTACGAAGTGTTAACACACGTGATAACACATTAACAAGGTAATTATAATTCTATACATGACAGAAACCTCCGGGAACATTTAACTAAGATGGTTTAAGATATGAATCCCCAAGAGGAAGTCACATCAACAACATAAAACAAGTTTATCACGTCATGGCTCGAAGAGAAGGAACTCTAACCCTTCAAGACAAAAGTCTGACTATCAGAGCACCGTAACTTTTAGTGCTTTAAATACTTAATGTTAATTATTAGACGAACGTTTCTCTGATTTGAAATGGAGTGTGGTATCGTTTTTGTTTTTCTATCTATCTATCTTTTTTTCTTTTATCTCTATGAAACGATTGAAGTTCAGCCAAAGCTGATTTACATAAACCAAAGTTGACTCTGTCGTAGCTCTTCCCTCTCTGGATTTCACCCTCCATCGTTCACGCTGGGTTTTGTTGTAGGAGGCGATCTACGGTGGCCCTGAAAGGTCAACGCGCTGCAACTTCAGCAAACACACGCAAACGGGACAAAACGCAAACAAATTCACAAAACATCTTCGCTGGAAACACTTCCGTTGTGTTGTGAGTATCTGCAGCTCGTCTTGTCAGATTTGTCTGTTTGCGTGTGTTTTCTCATCAGCCAGTATCGATCAATACACCTTGAAATGTAGATATTGGTTAATAATATTGGTCAACTTCACTGCGACGTCATAATGTTCTCACGTCTGGTTCTCCCAGCAGCTTGATGCACGGCTGCTTTTGTTCTGTGCCAACGCAACATTTACCACATGTATTTTATTTTGATTTTTTATTTTATTTGATTTTTTTATTTTAAATGGATGTGATGTTTAGTCGCTGGAGTGAGAGATGGAGTGAGCTGAGACGTGTGTGTTTTTAATACCTGTCAAAAAAAAAAAAGTGCTAGAATTGATTTTCAGGACCTTTTTTGAACATTAGCAACAACAGTGTTCGTCTTTTTTGCTGTAAATTCCTGTAGAAAATAATAAAAAAAAACAAAAAAAAAAATCCTAGGCAATAATAACACCTGTGGATGCTGTGTGTGTTCACCTGGAGACCCTGATGCGTTTGATTTATACCTGGAGCTCAGATCCACAGACACTAGATTTGAATAAATTCTGTAAAACGAGGCTCGAGACGAAGAGACGTGAAGGTTCAATCTGGACTTAAGACGTCGAGATTCTCATGTTTCAAAGTTTGTCAGTGTCACATGATGGTTTCAGACGTTTTCTGACCTTGAACCAGAACCTTGAGTCAATGTCCGGAGGCCGAGGGAGCAAAGATGAAACACCTGGAGTCCCTGGTAAGTTTTGAGCGTCAGTCACTTCAACAAAAACCTGAAAACAACATTTAAAACTTTTAACAGCTTAAAAGTTTCAGGCACTAGAGTAAAGTAGAAATAGATAAAAAATATTTTTTTAGTGCAGTGAGCGGTTTTAAACAACATTTATGTAACCTTTAGATTTTTGATGATAAAGATGAGACACTTGTTCTTCATGATGTCTCCTAACTGGATCTGAAAAGAGAAGAAATACAATCCTGCGTTGTTTTAAATGTTGGTGCAGCGAGGAATTGTGGAACGGCCTTTCCTTAAAGGAAGGTGTTTTTCTATGCTAAAGGAGATAAGATAGGAAGCATTGAAGCATCCTTTCCTCATCATTTAGAGAACTGGACCAGCTCTTATCAGTTAGGAACCACATCCTCTCACGTTGCAGTTCACACCTCCACCACTAGATGACCCCACTGTATCTCATTCACACTGCTGGACTTCCTCTGATTGATTGATAGATATGTACTAAGGGAAATTCAAGAGTCCAGAAGCTCAATATTTAAAATAGTTAGAAATGAATAATTCAATAGTATTATATTATAAACAATAATAGTTTGTGACTCTCTTCCCTCTGATGTTTCACAGTCCAGACGTAGCATCGCCGCTAACTCGTGTCTGCCATCGATTGATTGCCATCGACCTGTGCAGCTCTGTTCCTCCTGTTCAGAGTAGATTCCTCATGAACTTGAGGAACCCGTCTGATTTCTAGTCAGACGGAAGGATGAATGAGTCAAAACTGAATGTTTTCATCTTTAGAAAACTCTCTGCAGCTGGTCTCTCCCTCCGTCCGTCCGTCCGTCCGTCCGTCTCTCCACCGACGACCTTCAGGTCCGTTGAGTGCAAGTAGTTCATCTGCCGTCCTTCAGCTCAGCTTCAGCCTCACATGTTATTCAGCCGCCATGTTTACAGAGCTGCAGCGCATCATAACAGCGAGAGTCTTCACAGTTTGTGTTAAAATTTTACTTAATTCTCTAAATTAAATGAACTTGAAGATTATATACTAACTTGTTGACCCTGATTGGCTAAAAGTGCATTTATATACACATATATTTATATTTTACCTTAAGGTGATCACATCTTTTCACTATATCACGTTTTTTGTTTTATGACATTTTATCTTTGTCTTTGTTCTGACCTGATGTTTTTTTGAGTATTCAACCATTTTAGTACATTTTAATTTCCTGTAATGTGGGACCTTAAACACATCAGGTCTGAGTACCAGATCCCAGCATGCATCACGCAGCAATGAAGAATCTCTGATTGATTTTTATTAAACCTTGTACTGAACTAAATCTTATTACCGTCCCTGAGAGACTGCAGCACTTTAAGGCTTGTTTACCGACGGAGACGCTTCTCTTCAGGCTTCGTGACTTTGACGAGTTATTTAAACAGATTTTATTGAGAGGAAAGAAGAAGATTTCCTCGGAGTTGTTTTATTGTGGCGCTGTGAGAGAGGGCAGGCCCCGGGTGGGTACGCTGTAATTAGGCCGACGGATGGAGATCCTCCAAAAGGTTGTCCAATCAATTGGTTCAGCCAGTTGGTGAGCAGCCTCCTCTAATCACTCATTAATCAGGGGGAATGAGTTCTGATTACGCTCCGTCACAGTGACTCTCAACCGGGCGGCGTCGAGGCCCAAGACGGCTGCAGGTTTTCTTCTGCCTCATTTCACTCAGAGCGTCTTCAGGGGAACGAGCCGCCGTGGTTTCTGAGGGGACTGCGTTTAAAATGTTAATATCACTTGTATCAGCACAACAACACGTGTTTCTGAGCTACTGGGGGGACAGGAAATACAAATCTGTGCAAAGAGAGTGGAGCCCGGGAGGAGATGAGGTGGGCCGTCCCACGTCACAACAGTTTGTTAATTGTGAGAGAGCTTTTACATCTGCAACAGCTTCTCCCCGTCACCCCCTAAAAACAAGAGCATCTTCTCCCCGTCAACCCCTAAACCAGAACAACTGCCGCTGCCCCCCCCCCCTTAAAATTCTCCCTCTCACCCTGTAAACAAACTCATTCTGTCTCTGAAAAGAAATATTTCTATTTCTATCTTCTTCTTTTTTTTTCTCTCTCTCAGTTTCCCTTTCTGCTTCTCTTCTTTCTGCTTCTTACACACTGTTTTCATAAATAAGCACAAGATCTTTTGTGACATGCTAAAGTGCGGATGTACTGTATGTTATTAAAAGACTTAAAAAAAAAAAAAAACCTCCTGATGTGTTCCCTTCTGTGCTTCGTCAACATTAGTTTGGTGGTTTAATGTTGGATTTGACACTTTCACTGTCATTTTATATCAATTTTATGATTAATTCCACCTGACTCGGGTCCCGTCTTATGAAAAGCTTACAACTCAAATTTTATTTTAATTGAAAAATATGTTATATAGTTGTTATTTTACATCTTTAAACATTTAAAAAAAATCTCCATCTCCACCCTCTAGCATCCACCTGTAGCCTCTGACTGAGTTCTCCAAGGGGCGAAGTCATTATCGTCACTCCCTGCTGTGCTGATGGGTTGCATGGGGAGTGATGATAAATTCACATAATACACTATTTCATTTGCATTTTCATTGGCTTTAAAAATCTAAGAAAAAAAAGTCAAAAAATGTCGTCATTCAATTCAAATTCAGACGACATGACGAGTGTCTTCAGGCGACATGAACAGGTTCTTACTGAGTCCAAGAGAGAGAGAGAGAGAAAGAGCAGACGCAGCAGAAATGGAGTTATTTCACTCAGAGTGAAGAGCAGCAGCTCCACCGACTCCGTTACTGTCGCTTCAAGAATGTGACACTTTCACACACTTTAACTCACACACACACACACACACACACATGAAACACACGAAACACGAAACACAACAGCAGCTAAACCTGGAGGAGAAAGTTTTACTTTCCCTCGAGTTCAAGAGTGTGGAGAGGCAGGAGTAAAAGTTGGATTTCACTGTTTCGAACTAAGATGAACTTTTTC